CCTGCTACCCCAGCCCTGCCCCCGCAGCTCTGCCCGTGCCCCTCAATCCCCACCCGCAGCCCCCTGCTATTCACGGGGGTTAAGAGGCTGGGATGAACGCTCCTTAGGGATGGGGGGAGCCTGTGCAGCAGCGTTGCTGGGGGGTGGGGGGGGGGCTACTCACCGTGGGTGCTGGCTGGGCCGGAGCAGCTGGAAAACAAGAGCCGGATGTTACTGGGATGGTCGGGGGCTGTCAGGTCCTGCACTCAGAGTGGGGGTTACAGATCCCCAAGAGAGACCGGCAGGGCTGGGCACCCAGCATCATGCACAGGATCGGGCCCCCTCAGGATTGGGCGTGACTCCCAGGTGCTCCCCTGGGATGCAGCAATGTTTCACCCTCCTCCCTGAGCCGCCAGGGGCGGCAGAAACTCCAGACAGCTCCCCCCTCCCCTGCTAGGATGGACCGGCCCCCCTCTCATCAGCTCCCCTATGGACCACCCCCCTGCGATGGACCCTGGGACTCACCGCCAATTGGGTCTGTCCCAGGAGCCGCCTGCCAAAAGAGAAACGGGGCCATGAGCCGCGGGGGCTGCGGCTCGGACCCGACCCGTCACCAGATTCCCCCGCCCAGGGCCCCCTGAATCCCTCTACAAACGCCCATGGGAGCTCAGAGCCAGCCCCATCTGCGAGGGGGAAACTGAGGCACGAGGCCAGCCACTGACTGTTCCAATGCTGCAGCGAGCAAGTCAGGAGCAGAACTGGAAAAAGAACCCAGGAGTCCTGGCGCCCCGCCCTCACCCCAGGGTGGCACCTCATTTTAATGCTGAGCTCTGCTCTGGAAACAGGGATTGGGCAGTGGGGCCCCCGTGGAGAGGGGCAGGACAAGGGCATGGAGACCCCTCTACGTTCCACCCCCAAGTCAGCCTGGGCAGCCCCTGCTGCCGGGCCTGGGCATGGCTGGCTGGACAAAGGGGAGGTTACAGGGCTGCTCACCACACCAGGAACGGGACCAGCTGGCACCCCCGGCATCAGCATCCCCGGCATCATGGGAGGCACCATGGGTGGCATCTAGGGGACAGAAAGGTGCACATGCCAATGGAGTCGGGGAAACGGCCGGAGCCTCCGGTTCAGAACCCCGCTCGGTGATCCCCGCCCGCGTCCATGGAACACCAGCAGCGTGGCTCCGATCACAGGATCGGGGCCAGAGGGACACGGCGGATGAGGCCACAGAACCTACGTCTGCGTGGGGCTTTTCCCAACATCTTTGTCATCGAGGTTTAACAGAAAACTTTTGCCTGCAGAGAGCCCTGGCCCAGCCAGCCCTTGCCAGAGCCCAGCCCCTTCCCCCTAGTTACGCTACTCAGCCACTTCCCCCACTTCTTTCAGCCTGGGAGAGGGACTGACCTGCAGCCACAGGCCATGAGACCAGAGCTGGGATAGAACCCAGGAGTCCTGGCTCCCAGCCTCCTCCACTCTACCCCACCAGACCCCACTCCCCTCCCAGAGCTGGGAGAGAACCCAGGAGTCCTGGCTCCCAGCTTCCCCAGCTCTACCCCACCAGACCCCACTCCCCTCCCAGAGGTGGGATAGAACCTAGGAGTCCTGGCTCCCAATCCCCCCCGCCCCGCAACCAACCAGACCCTGCTTCCCAGATGATGGGTCCCAGGCGTGCGATCCATGGTCCTGCACTGACATTCCACCCCGAGTGGAGGCTCAAGGGGGGCCCAGGATTCAGACAGAGAGAGACGAAGGGAGTGGCTTTACCTGTCCTATGGGTGGGGGTCCTGCCATGGGTGGGAGCAGAGGCGGCATCATGCCAGGGGGCATGGGGGGCATCGCTGGCGGTCTCTGCCCGATAGGAGGGAGTCCCATGGGGGGGAAGGGAGGGGGGATTCCAGGAGGAGGCATCTAGGAGCAAGAAGAGACAGGCTGCATGATGTGGCTCAGCCCAGCCCCAGGGCAGCCCCCTACTGAAGGGACTGGCCCTGGCCAGTCAGGGACTCCCCCACCACTGCAGCTACTCGGGCAGACGCCTGGCGCCAGCCACTGGCGCAGCTCGCTCAGGGTGTCTCCTTGTCACCACCGCAGCACGTCCGCAAGGGGGCTTCGCACCACCACAGCTCCCCTCGCCTGCCAATGCGGCACAAACTGCTCCGTCTGAGCTCACGGGGAGCAATGAGGGTGCGCACGCACACATACACACACACACACACAGACATGTATACACACATGCACACATGCATACGCATACACGTGCACACACTCACATGTGCGCGCACACACGTATACACATGCACATGTATGCGTGCGCACACACGCACACACATATACATGCACCCACACGTATACACACATGCATACACACACACGTGCACACACACGTATACACACATGCATACACATATACGTGCACATGCACACATGCACACACGCACACACATGTACGCACACACACGTATACACACATGCATACACATACACATGCACATGCGCACACACACACAGCCAGTGTACTGAACTTTGCACAGTCATCCCACACGGCCAGGCCAGCAACTCCCGCTTTGTGCCGCTCTCTGGGACGGCTGGGTCATGCTGGTTTGGTTAGTAAGCGGTGCTGGGTTCAGGTAACTTACGAAGGGTGGAGGCATCATCGGGGGGGCGGTGGGAAACGGGGCCGGCTGCCCTGCAGGGCCGCTGCTGGAGTCCGGAGCCGACTGTCAACAGCAAGAAAAGAAATGCAGGAAACAGCTGGTAAGAGAGGATGGTCTTGTGGTGAGAGCAGAGGGGGCTGGGAGTCAGGACTCCTGGGTTCAATGCCCAGCCCTGACTGGAGTGCTGTGCAGTATCTTACATAGGGGCTCCTCGTGCAGACACTAAATCGGATCTTATTTTAATTAAAATAGACACCGGAAAACACGTGAAGCAAAGGACAGCGAAGCACAGACTAAAGAGAAGCCGCATCGTCCCCGAGATGGATGGACAGAGGCTGTGTATGGGGATGAATGGATAGACAGACAGACAGAAGATGAGTATGGGGACGGATGGATAGATAGAAGGTGCATATGGAATGAAAAGATAGTTGGACAGAGGGTGTGTATGGGATGGATAGATAGAGTGTATGGGGATGGATGGATGGATAGAGGGTGTGTATGGGGATAGAGGGTGCGTATGGAGATGGACGAATGGATGGATAGAGGGTGCGTATGGGGATGGATGGATAGATGGAT